ACGACGTTATCGAACATGAAAACGACGTCGTAGAGGACCTCGACTCTTCTCCTTACTGGCCTCTCAGTTTCGGTGACTTCGATGTTTACGATCCCCCAGATCTCTCCGATTTCGCTTCCCGTCCCCAAATCTCTTCGTATTCTCGTCGGAGGACTGGTTTGGCCTTAAGCGACGATGTTTCAGAAGCTGATTCGGTTGTCACCGTCATGGACCGCGAGAACCAAGTAAACTTTGTTATGGATATGTTTCAGCAACGGGTCGAGCAATCTCAATCTTTGATCCGTGTGGTTTCGAACCCTGATTTGCTGCATGCGGACCCGGAATTGGAGACCGATTTCGGTTTGATTGGAGGAAATGAGTTTATGGGAATGAGTAGCTTAGACGTTGATTTTGGGCTAGGGTTAGGTTTTCGTGGGGTTACTGATAATTCTGGATTCCATATTGAAGATTGTGATGGCCCTGAACAGTTTGTCAGTGGATTGAGGGTTGTGGATAATGAATCTGACTGGGACCGTGATGACAACTGCGTTTCAGGCAGATTGTTCAATCTGGATGAAGTTGATGGCGATGACGAAGATGAGAATATTCGTGACAATGAGAGTGATGACCCGAGTCTTCGGCTGTGTTGGGGTTCCTTCCAATTGGAGGATCATAGGGATGTGAATGAGGACTTTGAGTGGGAAGAAATTGATGGAAGAGTTGATGAGAGAGAGATTCTAAGCATGTTCTTAGATGTTGAGGAGATATCTGAATCTCCTGCTCCAGAGGATAGAGCAAGAGAGTTGGAAAATTTGGAGTGGGAGTTTCTGTTGAATGTTCAGAATTTTGAGCCAGACCCAGAAATTACAAATGAAGAATTCAATTTCGGTCGTCATATGGATCAAGACGATTACAATTACACTACTGAGTATGAGCTATTGTTTGGACAGTTTGCAGAGGGCGATAACGGTTTTGTTGGAAGACCACCAGCTTCCAAGACTGTTGTTAGAGACCTTCCAACTGTGGCTGTGAGTAAAGATGATTTAGAAAAGAACAATGCTACTTGTGCTATCTGCAAGGATGAGTTGAATTTGGGAGAAAAGGCTAGACAGTTACCATGTGCTCATAGGTATCATGGTGACTGTATTCGGCCTTGGCTTGGGATTAGGAATACCTGTCCAGTTTGTCGATATGAGTTGCCCACTGATGATCCTGGCTATGAGAGGAGGAGAAGGGTCCAGACTACTCACACACTTGATCAAATTGATTGAAGGTATATTTTTTTTGCATTTATGTAGATGGCTTGACAACAATCAAGCCCAGGAGCACTGGGTCTGCTCTTTGTTGATATGATGTTGGAAGTACTTTTTGGTTTCCTTGAATTAAGATTGTTAATATACTAGATGATTTTGATGTCAGAACTATGTGGATGTCTTATTGCCCTGACCACATGTTTAAAACTCTTATATATGACGCAAGATCAGAGAAAGAAGGAATTGTTAGTAAGTTGATTTTTCATTGTAAGATTAATTTTACATCTTATAGATTGTATAAAGCTCATAGATAGTAACTTTACATATGAAGCAAGTTCAGAGAAACAAGGAATTGTCTATTTAATTTGATTTTTCGTTGTAAGATTAGCATTACGCCTTATAAGTTGTATAAAGCTCATAGATATTAAGACTCATTGATATTCATCAATCAGTCTCTGTAGATCTTATGTTTGAACCATGTAAAAGTACTTTCCAGTTTGGAGAGAAAAGAATGTTCCTTTTTTTGGCCAAATACCTAGATATCCCCTCAAACTTGCACGATTTGCATGTTAGACGATCCAACTTAACTTGAGACCAGATTGACACCCCTTTTTGACAAAAGTGTGTCAGATGAGCACCTCACACTTCACGTTGACATAGAAAGTAACGTTTATACTTACATTTGAGCACGTGAAAAGCTTTATGTATGATTTCTCTTCTAAAAAATCCCCCATTCCTCTAAAATTGCTGGTGACAAAATGAAAATAAAGAAAACACTAAGAAGCAAAAGGCTAGCACCATCAGATGCGTCCCGGTGAGACTCTTTTTCGGTGATGGTGAAGGTGATAGTTCACTGTCTGGAAACAAAGGGGAAAAGAGATAAGATGCAAAGGGTGGGTATTTTTTTTTTTTTGATGACAAGCAAAGGGTGGGTATTTTTTTCCGCCCGGAGAATTTTCATCCAGATCAGTTTGGGTAACAGCCTTCACATTCATATTCGCTATCCAAGTGACCCTAAATGGATTGAATTCAATACTTTCTACCACCATCTATTTAGAATGTATATAAATGTTACAATGTAGAAATGGAAACAAACCCTAAATCTAAGAACACCAATAAAAGATAGATAGATTGACACAAGAATGGAACTGATTGAAAACTAAGGCTCGTTGGACTTTGATAGCCAAAACCCTCAATTAAGGAATCCAAAATAAGCACCTAATCTTTTAGATACCCTCAAGAAGAAGAATTCCTCAAGCAAGCAATCATCCGTAGATGACCCACAAGAGGAATGATTCCTCTAGCAAACAATCTGATCAACATTGTTTAGCGACAAAAGCCATAGCCTCACTCTCTCAAGAACAGAAGTCAGCTTGAGCCATCAAAAAATGAATACTTTTGTCAGGTCTGATAACTAAAAACTAGGCTATGACTAGTGAACTGACGAAATCCATAAAATGGTCAGTGCTTGACACAGGAGTCAGCAAAAGAGTTGGGTTAAACATTGTGCTTTTAAGGATTGATATGAAGTTGAGATTCCATCAAAACATGTCCTATTCCTCTTTGACCAGATGCACCAAAAAATAGTTCCAGGGACCCATCCGCCAGATGCTCTTGATGGCCTTGCAAACTTTGTATGAGTTCCAGCTCCTATAAGTCTTTGGTGCTGAAAGGGATTACCGAAAAGAAAAACACGTTCCATATCTCCGAGGCTGCTGTATGATGGAGTAAGAGGTGGTTGACACTTCCCCTATTAGACTTAGACATGTAACATCTGTTTGCCAATTGTATTTTCCCTTTTCTAAGGTTTTCCTGGTCAAGCATGCTTCATGTAGAGCCTATCCAGGTGAAACAAATGACTTTAGTAGGTAGTTTTATTTTTCAAATTAGCTTCCATGGCCAAGATGGTGGGATAGATAGGATTTCGCTCTTTGACACATCATCAGCAAGTAATTTTCACGCGTCTGTTTTTGCTGACCATGTGTTTAAGAGACATTTTTGTTGATTTGAAGTATCTATTTGGTCACTTGTTAAGTTGGATTGTTAACTGGTAAATTGTCCCAAGTTTGAGGGGATATCTAGGGTATTGGCTTTGTTCTCTCTTTCTACAGATGTTTAAGATTGAAATATTCTTGCTTGTTTTGATGATGGATTCTCAGTTGTCTCTGAAGATTGGAATAGTTGGAAATTGAGGACCAAGGAGTCATTGGCGGTGAGAATCCCTGCTTAAAATTGAGCATAAATTAAATAGCAATCACTTTGGAAGATGATAAAATCGGATACTTGTTAGGGAATTCGGATTTTCCAAATATTTGAGAAGTCTAGCACTTTTTATCATACATGTCTATGCAGAAACAAATCTTTAATAGCAGCTAAGTGTGTTAGACCTGAGGGCATGTATGAGCAAGCTTGTGAATATGTCATGATAGTTTCTGATCCGAGCATGTCAATTAATGAGGCTGTGGATGGCTAAATAAGAACAAGTCTTGCACTAGTTCAATTTATGCATGTATTTTTGCTGTGTTTCTATTTAAGCCGTGTTTGTATTTTGTAGCTATCAAGATATCACGCCAATTTCATTTATACAGTTCCATGTACTATGCTTTAACGACCACACTGCAATGATCTAAGGATTATATGTCCTCATTGGTGCATGAAATTTAACAATTTAACTCATATTCTCTTTTCAGGACATTGTAGGTCTTGTTCATCATTTATAGTTTCGGTTACTTCACAACTTGGCAGGGCAAAAACAGAGTTCTTGCTGGGACTGGGACTGCTTGCAAATAGCACCCAGGTTGTGAATGATGGCCAAAGGGAGGGTTGGACTTTGGAGAGAAGCTCTATGGAATTTGCTTGGATAACTTAACTTTTGTTCTGGAGCCAATGGTACACCATAATCCCATCACTGTTATAAAACACAACCAGGAGCTCTCCATTTGTTTATATTCGTAAGAGAGTGAATTTGTTAAATTACAGATCATGGGAAAATTTTAAATGGAGCTTGCTAGTTGTTGGCTAAAAAGTCGACAAGTGCAGAATTTGTCTTGTCCAGTGAGATCTATTTTATTATTATAAGTTTGCCAACTTGTAAATTATTGTTCTTGAATTTGTAGTTTGATTCTTGAAAATCAACGATATGGGATATAGCACATGCTCAAATTGGTTGTTTAGCTTGGTTCTTTTTGAAAAATATGTAGATGAACAGAAATGCCCATTTCCTACGTATGTAAGAAGGTGCGCTTAATTAACAAATTGAGGTTGAGTGGGTATTATTCACTGCGTTCTTACACCATGAAGGGTTGTTTAAAGAAATTACTTCCTGAAGCAATATATTTACCTGCTAGCCACTGGTGTAACATAATCTCTCCATAGTAGTTTATATGAATCACTTTTTCTTTTTTGAGCGGAAGACAAATTGTATAATGTGTAATCACCACCACCCGTTCATTTTCAACCTATCTTTACCTCTCCTAAAATCTTCTACAGCCAACCTTTCACACCTCCCTTGATCAAAATTTAATTCTGGAGAACATTTTCTCTAGGAAAAATGAATTCTTTAAAAATGATTAAATTAGCTTTAGGATAATATTTTTGCTAAATTATTTACAAATGTTTTTAAAATAACATCTTTTGCTTAAGTACGTAACACAAAAATAAGTTAAAAACTCACTTATTTTCCCGAAAAACATTTTCCATGTTTCGAAGCTCACTTGTTTCTTGAAAAACGCTATCGAAAGCATTTTACTTCGTAATCAACCAGAGCTTCGAATGCTATCGTTGTCCTTGCATACAACAACAATAATAACTACAACCATGGCTCAATCCAAAGTAAGTTACTTACCTTTTTCCACATATAGTTCTAGAAATTATACAAGTCGCTAGTTGATTTACTTGAAAATTTTCAGATTTAACCCAAGTCCAGGAGATTTCTACTGATCAAGAGGACGCTATCGAATGAATGAAATTTCAAGATTGGGAAGGTTGATGCCCATTAGCAGTACTCTGGGGATGGAGTTTCCATTGTAGAGACTGAGTCGCTACTGTTATCGTCATTAAAATTAGCGGGATCTGCATACGACTGGTACCCAGGAAACCTGACAAACAAAAGGAGCTGTTGAGGCAACAACACAATACAAAACATTTCAATTAACATGCTGTATATATACTTTATATGGTAAAAAAAACTTACGCACCTACTTACTTTTACTTGCTCTCCATTTATACCCATTTTTACATCAAAGATGTTTCCTGCAAACAGTTGTCATTGAAGTTGATTCATGTCAAAAAATAATCATGTTGCTACTTCGGGGAAGGAAAACTATTCAATGGTTTCAACAGAAACAATTCCTAGCAATTAATGCCACAAATTGTCCCTTTGGGTACATCCGATTAATATAGAAGGCCAACTGCAATTGACCTAAGAAATTCATAGGGATACAATTGCAACCCCAACACTATATGACATAGTAATAACTTTTTCCTGATGCAAGCGGAGTGACAATAGCCTCTTATAACTCCAAGGATGTAGCACATTCACGACTCATACAGGAAAAAGGTTATCCAGACATGCCAGTTCTGAGTTCGCAATAACACATTTATAGATGTCATATATAGGTTAGAGTTAGCTAAACAAAAAGAAGAGATTGATTCAGTAATAATCAAGGGAGAGCTAGGCATTTGGTCTGCCTTAATTGTGGAAACATGATTATCTCCAACAAAGATACTACCTCTCAATTAATCTGCTTATAACTGGTTATTCAAATATGCCTACTTATACTTTTCTACTCCCACTCACTTGTTGATTGTGTACACAGTCTAGTCTGTGTCCCAGTAACTTGTAGCTCGTCTCTGCTAAATATCAGATGATAGGGAATGACACAACTAAAGTAATCAAAAGATGTCCTGGTAAACCAATAGACTATTCCAATGATTTCGCTTTATATTTTATGGAAAAAAAGGAAGGAAAAAAGCCTGACATTGTTAAAAGCCCTTAAATCTTGTTTGAATGAGTTTACCATAGTTGCTTCTCAAGGTCAAATGCATCAAAGGAGACAAGGACTTAAAAGTGAAGCACTGCAACAAACATGCGAATCTCCACATCACTTAAACTTAAAGTGATACCTCGATTAGGCAATGGATGGTGGGGGAACCAATAGACAAATATATCTCTAAAACATGTGAATGTTCAAAGTAATATCCCTCAAGTAAATGCAATTCGACGTCATACAAAATAATCATAAAAATTCACCTGCAACAAGAAGAAAAAACAACCATGGTGATTTAATACTCAGTAAAATTGACCTTATTATGGTGCTTTCTCGGACTATTTACCTCCAAAAATAGTCTTGTCTGAAAAGTACTTGGACATTAAATATCTCCTCGCCTCAACTTCATACCTCTTGAACTTCTCATCCTGTTCAGTCTCCATATCACTACATCACAGCATGGAAAGAAAATAGAGAGTTAGGACTTCCATCGTGTTCAGATTACATTCATATAGATAGAAGACTTGAGCAGAACTTAAAAGTAGTGCTGTAGCAGGATAAATAGTCTTGCTTTTGTCTTTTTTCCCTTTTATCAGTACTATAGACTTAAGTTCTTTTTTGTTCCCTTTATCGGCACTATGGACTTAAGATTAACCATCACGGACAGCTAATAACTTGATAAAAGCATACCAAAAAATCCCTTAGATGTGCTACCAGATCATGAAAAATATAATGTTTTTATTATTAAAAGGACGTCCAGCTAGGGATGGCCTAACATGAAAACTTAGATTTTCAATACAATAATGGAGACGCAACAAGTTGTTCTCAGGAACTCCTCACAAATCAAATATTTTAGTTTGATTAGCCATAGACATGAAAGGTAAAATTGATATTACTCTGGTTACGAGAAAACTGGGGTCTAAAATAAAGGTAGATCTGGTTTTTGATGGGATTGAGATTTTGACCTTTGAAGTAGTATCGTATTATAGAAATAATGAATACTGTACAAAGTATATTTCAATCAAAGCAAATTTTATTACCTCTAATAATAGACAATAATGGAAGTAAGATAATCTTTCTCCATACATAGTGAAAGACCATGAACTAGGAGATAGAAAAGCATTTTGTATCAATTTAATTCAAAAGCAGACTTTTGTAACAACCTGGGCTAGCTAGTAGTCCAAACACCAAACCATGTGCTAATTTCCATCATTGCTCCCATTAATAGTTTAGGTTAAGTTTTTAATTGTCAGAAGACTCAAAGCAATAAAAAGCAATCGACAATTCCATAAAAAATCCCACGTGGGAGGGGTTTCACTTTCCTCTCCTATCAAAGCTTTTATTTCCTTGCCCTGCCTAATCCATAATATTCTCAAGCACTTGAATCTATACTTTTTGGCAAGCACGTTGAGACCCTCAATGTGACACCCGAATCCATCTATTGGTCAAGACACCTTGTTAGGTATAATTTAACTTCAGAAAGCTTTAGCATAACTTTTCAAGTAGTGGAGAGCCTAAAGCCCAGTAAACATTTCAAGTATGCTATACAAATCTAACATAAGATAATACCACTAATGGACAGGATTAATGCGACTATATTTTTACCTCTTTATCCCTATACTACTAACAAACTGGTAGGCCCTGCAAATCTAGACATGTGGAAATAATAATGCATAGTTCATTCATTATTTGATTCATAAAACATAGAAAGTATTTTTGAGCTTACTAATTTAGCTAAAATGGATAATTCAAGAGATTCTCTAATAAGCATGCACTTAACATATGCCATTACAGGAAGCTGTTGCTATTTCAGTTAAATGCTAAAGTACCAATCTACTGCCATTAAATATTGAGCATGTATTCTAAGGATTCACCAAAAAATTGTAGTTTTGAACACCGAATTCATGTTGCACATAGGACATTAACATGGGAGCAGATAATAGAGTAGCCAACAGATATTGCTTTTCAATTACTACCTTACAAGAGAATCAATTAAGCATCTTACTTTTTCGAATCTGGCTGTCGCATATGATGCCAGATACGCTCTATGCTATCTTTACAAGAAGACCAACACAACTTCAGTTGGGCTCCAAATGAATCAAATTTATCAAACACCTTCCATAAAAACTCTCATTATTGGAAGTCTGTTATGATACATACCCTTTATTATCATATCTACTGGCTGAATCCTAACTGTCACGTCAATAATATTCTTGTTGTTCCCCATCTCTGTATCTTCCCATCATTTATGTTAGAAGGGCAATGCCGATAGGTGATAAGTAACTCACAAAAGAATGCCACATGACTATCAGCCATGAGTATATCTTATTTCCCATTTTACAACAACAACAAATACCCAATGTAATCCCATTTGTGGGGTTCGTGAAGGGTATCATGTACGTAGTCTTACCCCTACCTTGTAAAGCTAGAGAGGCCGTTAAATAATTCTTTACGAGTCTATTCCTCCTTATATGAAAGAATTAACAACAAGAAATCTCTTAAATGCTGCCAATTGCACTTAGGACCATAAAATCACCAATTATACAATAAATTCAAAAATCAAACCGAAGGCCGAACAGACACTTCAACCCCAATTTTATTTTTTTTAAAATAAATTACAAAGCAGTTATACAAGAAAGCCTAGATATATACTTACTCAAGAGGATCTTCGATCACTTCCTCCTTCTTCACAGCTTTAAGAACAGTGAGGTTTGAGACCTCCTACAGAAAAAAAAGGTAACCCATAAAAAAGAGGGAAAATGAATGAACACTTAAATTAGATAAGCGAGAGGAACCTGATGCTGTTGCGACGGAGGCGGAGGCCGAGGAGATTGAGGGGCAGAGGATATAGGGGAGTTCGACACAGAATTTGCCGCCGAAGAATCCATTTTTCCAATGAAAGCTCCGTCAATTTTCAAATGAAAGCTCCGCCAATTTTCAAATGCAGCTAAGCAAGGATTAAGGTTGAGTTATATAGTGGCATTTCAGATACGTAGAGCTTAGAGGCACCTAGCGTTCTTGAATTCAGAAAACATGGCGTGAAATAATAGCAAGTGCCCGCTGAGCAGTTACGAAGCAGCAAGACGCCCGAGTTAAAGGGCACCGCAATTTTATTTTTTCTTACAACGAAGACAAAAAGTCAAGAGGACCTAGCGCGTTTAAAAATGAATTAGGAAAAAATGATTATTGATTTAATGATTTGATTTTGAATTTTTTTTTTGGGTTATCTTATCTTGTTTGAAGTTTTTTATACTGGGTTATCTTATATGTTTGAAGTTTCTTTTAATGGGTTAACTAATAACCTCATAGTAAGTTAATAAATTATATTTATATTATTTACTTTTACTATGCTATTTTGGAATGTATAACAATACTTGTCTACTTTATGAAATCAATGGATAATTTTACATTTGATTTCTAATTTATCCTTATTATTAATTATAGTCATTTCCTATTACATTTTTCAATGCATCGTATGTAAAGGATGATACACTAAAATTACCCTTTTATTTATAGTTTTTAAGAGGTGTGCAAAGAGAGTAGTAGTGTTTAATTTCATGCTTTTATTTCTCACCGTCTCAAAATTTCGGTTATTCTACTCTACAAGGTATCAGTAGTGTTTTTGAGCAAGATGCAATTTGCCAACTCAATTTATTTAGTTTGTTTCCACGTTTCTAAGTGATTTTCAATATATTTTTTTGTGTGAAATTGTAATGGTTAAACCGATAATACTCCGGCTGACTTGATAAAGAAGTAGTATCGTGAGTGAATGGTGAATAGGACTACCATGAAATTCTTGGCTCTTGGTATATCAACCTTGTCATTCTCATCTTATTTTGAAACTGAAATTCCACACTGAACTAAAGTTTCAGGACATGTTCTGCCACACTACTGTTCTTCAGATGATTCTTTGAAATCTGAAATATCTTCACGGGAGGAGTCATTCTTGAAATCAAGCACCCATTGCTAATAAGGAATATCAAAACACAAGCCAAACTAGAATATATGTAATATGATATCACTTGATAATTTGATATGTACATCCGAACGATTAGGGTGGCTAGCAAAAGCAGGTGAAATCGACTCATCTATGTATCCAGAGAAACCATCTTAAAAAATGTGAGAGAGTGCGTCTTATTCCAATCCTTGTGATAATCTCCTTAACAATCATTGTGGTCACTAACTTAAAGCACATTGAGGTAACCTGTGAACTGCTTTCCCCGAGAAAAGATTTCGAGTCATCAACAGGAAGAACGTGAGTCAAGTCATAAGTGATTCTAAACAGTTTGTTGTAGCTACCTCGATTTTGTTCTTTATCCTCTCCATTTAAATGCTGAAGCACCAAATCATCTCAGGTACTAACCAATTCATTTGTTTCCGTTTGGTCACATCAAACTTCACTAGAGCTCTTATGGCTTGGAAAACATATTGCAAACAGCAAAGTTATAGCTTTTTCCTCCTATTTCAATCTGACTGCAACCAATTTCTTTTTGCAAGCCTAATTCCTTCATCTTGTCCCTGACTTGTCTAACAGAGTCCCAGTCCCCATATCTTGCAAAAAAATTGGATACTAAAACATAAATTTCTGCTCTTTTTGGTTCTAATTCCAGTAACTTGTTGGCACATTTCTTCCCAAGATTTGACTGGGCGTGAACTATACATGAATTGAGCAACGAACACCAAATTTGAGTATCTGGCTGCATAGGCATCTCAGCCATGAGATTTAGGGCATCATCAAACTGTCCAGCACGAGCCAGCATGTCAATCACACATGCATAATGCTCCAATTCAGGTTTTAGACCATGCAATGTCTGCATCTCTTTAACATATTGTCGACCTTCTTCAATGAGCCCCGCATGGTTACATGCCATTAAAATAGAGACATATGTCAAGCTGGCAGGGCTGAAGCCCGATTTCTGCATTTCCTGAAATAGCTCGATGGCCTCCATTCCAAGTCCATGAACTGCATATCCAGTAATCATAGCTGTCCATGATGCTATATCTTTGAGTGGAATATGGCCAAAAACATACTTGGACATTTCTATGAATCCAGATTTTGCATACATGTCTATGATTGAGCAATGAACAAAACTATCCTCTATAAGGTTGGATTTCAGTGCAAAGCAGTGAACTTCTTTCCCCAGCCTGACAGCAGGCAATTTTGAACAAGCCCCTAAAACACTTGTCACAGAAATTTCATCAGGTTGAAATCTATGAGATACCATATCGCGAAGCAGACAAAAGGCTTTATCTGGTAGTGCATTCTGCAAATAACCAGCTATCATCACGTTCCAGGATACAACATTTTTATCTTCTATCCTGTCAAACAGACGTTGTGCTAGCTCATATTTTCCACAAGTCATGTAGAATGAAACTAGGGAAACTAGTGTAGACATATCTGTTTCTAGACCATTTCTAAGCACAAAACCGTGAATTAGTGTACCACAATGTAGCAGTTTTAAGTGGGAACAAGCAAACAGAAGGCTACCAATAGTGAACCAGTCAGGAAGCAAGCCAGAATCCATCATTTCAGAGGACAAAGCCAAAGCCTTCGATGGATCCTCATTCTGAGCATAGCCACTTATCAGTGCATTCCAAGAGCTTACTGTCTTATTTGCCACTCCATAGAATACAAGCTCAGCATATCTGAGAAATTCACACTTTGCATAGGCAGCAATAAAAGCATTTGTTAACAACTCATGGTATTCAAGACCATTTCTAAGTGAGTAGCCATGCAGTTCTTTCACTATCAACTGCTCTGACTCCTCTTGGCACACAGGCAAAACATTCAATAGAGTAACCTCATTCGCCTTCACATACTCATTGGTACTTTGCATCCTTCTCATAAGATGAAATGTTCCTCTATCATCTCCTCCTCCTGAATAACCCCCGATAATGGAGTTCCAAGAGACCACATTTTTGCTCTCATTTTTCTCAAACAGAATTTGTGCATCAGAAAAGTATCCAACTTTGCAATACATATCCACTAAAGAATTATTCACTGTTAACTCGTCAGCTAATCCTAGCTTTACAGCTAAACCATGAATAATCTTCCCGAATTCCACTTCTTCTGCTCCTGCACAAATTGGCAGCATAATAACCACGGTAGTCGTGTCTGGAACAAGAACTTCATCCCCTGTAAATATATTTCTGAAAAGATCAAAACTTTGTTCAATATACCCATTCGCTGAGAACCCAGAAATCATTGAGTTGCTTGAAACCAAATTCCTCTCAGGCATATGCTCAAACACTTTCATAGCTTCCTCAACAAGACTAAACTTCCCATACATGGAAATTAACGCATTGCTTACAAAGACATCGCTAACCAAACCCATCTTTGATGCCATCCCATGAATAGCTTCCCCCAAACCCACATCAAGAACCCCTCCACAAGCCTTAATAACCAGAGGAAAAGTAAAATTGTCTGGCCTTTCCTCGGTTGAAGTCATCAGCTCAATAAACAAACAAATAGCATCAACCCAAAGTTCATTCTTTGTGTACCCACTCATAAGAACATTCCATTGATACAGTTTTTTGCTTCGTAATTGATGGAAAACAGAGAGAGAATCGGAAGGATACCCACACATGGAGTACATTGAGATGAGCCGCGTACAGAGTATAACGTCATCTTTTAATTGGGTCAACGAAGTAACCATTTCATGGACTTTACGACCCGTTTGAATGTCCTTTTGTTTACCACAGGCCTGTAAGAGTACGCCTAAGGCCTCGGATTTTTCCGACGAGTGGTAGAAGGCTTTTTCGAGGTTTTCTTGAAATGTACGGAAAACTTCCGACGAGCTTTTGGATTCGCACAGTTGCGTGATCTCTTCGGATAGCATTAATGGGTTCTTGAGCTGATTCTTCAAAGTTGATTTTGCAGTTATAGAATCTTCCTCAGGTGCTGGGGTGCAAATTGAACCTGCCGATTTTGAAACGGAGGTAGATGCAAACGACCGTAATTTGTTGAGTTTTGGACTAACTTTGACGGTTTGAAATTGGGGCTGGTGGCGGCAGCATGAGTTCGACGCCGGCGACGGCGTTAACGTCGCCGGAGCAGCCGTGGGGAAGCTCGCCAGCGTGAACATCAAACATACATAGCAAGGCTACCTACGGATACCCGCGGCGAAGAAGTATATGGTGGCCTTTACATCCCTTATCCTATTTTGAATTTAATTTTGTAAACGTCAATCCCAAAGTGAAATAGTGTGTCGTATTTAGCTTTTATAAAATTATTTTCAATTTTATATCATTGTTAAAAAAAAAAACATATATTTAAACGCTTTTGAAAATAATATTATTTGCTTCTGTTCAATTTATTCAAACTTGTAGCTATTTTGTTGCAAATGAACTAGTAACATTTTCCTGCACACCGACCGAATTAATTTTGTCTCGTATAGCAAGTGCATTTCAGATGTTATTTTACTGTATTAAATAAGAATTTATGTGCAAGTATGAAAGGGTTTTTTTTTCGGAGACTGATTTTTTCTTTCCATCGAATTTCATATTGATTCTTGTTGTTATTGATATTTTTTACTGTATTTTTTATTTTTAAGGAATTCTACTTGACTTGAATAGCTATTGAAAAACATCATCTCTATCCTTATCAGATAAAGATAAAATTGTGTACAATCTATCTTTTCATTTTACTTGTGAAATTTTACTAAATATGTTATTATTGATATTATTGCCTTTCTTGTGCTTACTAATTATATTGAATTCAACAAACATTAAAAAAAGACTCAATGCTTTATATTGAATTGTGCTTTTTGAACCATTAAAGAATATCCCAATTCCCACCGAGAGGCCAATCAACTTGGACTGAATATTTTTTAGTTATAATAAATAAAATATAAGTACTGAAAGAGACGAATCATATCCACTTTTAGTTTTAAGGAGTTTACACCGATGATACAATTGATAACCAAAAAGCAAAGAAGATAAACTGAACTTTTATAAAACGCGAGGGAGATGGTATATATTTGCTTTCATCGTAATTAAATGTAAGAAATAACTTATGACAAGATAAATAACCACTAGCTATCCCACACACATAGGTTAACTATACAACCTTATTTATAACCCAAAGAAAACTGTCCTCATTATTATCAAAAAACTATGACCACGATTTAATTTCTCTGCATTGACTAGAGCGCAGCGCATTAGTATTGGTTGCAGATAGCAATAGCAAGCAAGGAGAAGAGATAGACGCCCCAAGAGCAACCTTTGAGAAATAGAGAAAGGGGCATTGTCATGACATGGAAGAAAGCAGTAGTGGCAAATAAAATACCTGCCCTCTCTAGCAATTCAGATTCAGCCGGGTAATTGCCCTTTATAAATCTTCCCACAAAGAGTAAAGTGAAAGCAAGTAAAATAGCAAATGACAACAATTGGAAACACAAAGGAAGCGAGTGGCTGCCGTTTCCAGCTTGTAGAGAATACAGAGTTATCTCAACCCCTGATGTTAAACAGAATGCCATGAATAGCGTCGACCTATCGAAATTATTGGTTTCAGCAGCAGCAGCAACTACAGGGCTACTCTCTTCCAATTCCAGCTGTAGCTCAGCTGGTTGTGTCACCGTGTTAGCGGAGGATTCAAGGGATAAACCTACAGTACTAGGGGAGTTGGATGACATAGCTGTAGTACTACTTGGGAAGTAATGGCCAATCCTCTCTCTAAACCGAAATACAAACTTTTTGACAAAGTTTGGGAACTCCATTGAAAGAAAAAGGCTAGATGGGGTTTATAAATGGATGGGGTTTACTTATAGAGACTACACTCAGCACTGAAGCAGCAAAAGGTCAAATTTCTTCCGCATGTCCACTTTCCCAGAAATAACTCAGGTTATATCAACATACTTTATTACCCGCTTTAACCGGTTGTTAGGACTTATTACCCGCTTTAACTGGTTGTATAGAACTTATTACCCGCTTTAACCGGTTGTATAGGACTTATTACCCCCTTAGCTGGTTGAATAATGACAAACACAGACGAGGAAATGGGTCAAAATGACCCACTTACAAAGATATTATAAAGTTTTGTGGGGTGATATGACACATTTAAAGTTAAAGTATTTTTATGCAAATATAGGACAATTTTAAAAGTGATTTTATGTCTTTTCTCTTACTATTAACTATGGAGTAAATAAGTAGTCATCACATGTATGTTTAACTTTTGATCATACATTGAGTCCGAAATCTAAATAAGCCACAAAAAGATAAAAGTGATCAAAATAAGCCACTAGTCTAGTAAGTAACTAAAATAGGCATAGTGGAAGAAAAAATTCCGTTTTATGCAATATTCCAGACGTTTTCCATTAGTCTCATAACGTGTATATTTTAATATATAGCGGAACTATTTTTTACACTTTGTAAAGTAAAATTTTTCTTACACTTTATAAAGTGGAAGAAAAAAATATGTTTTACAAAGAGAAATATTTTTCAAGTATTGTTTTAGGAGAACGTTGTTGTCTAGTCTTAGGCTCCTTCCTAACATAGATTTCAAGTATTGTTAACTTGATTTGATCTATTTAGTCATTTTGAACCCTCGGTCAATGATTCGTCATTATAGATAATCCACTCTCCAAAATTTACTTGTCCTTGTGATAAAAATGAAGTGGAGTATTTTTCAACTATAATCAAATTATAATCAGTTCTATTTATACTCATTCTTTTATAAATTGTTGAAAGAAATTTATGATATCGGACATTAATTTAATATTTTGCATTGTATTTGGGACGACACTTATAATAAACTGTATTTACGTCATGTATAATTTCGCCTTCCCAATAAATCGAAACTGTAACTTTTGGTTCAGAAGACATCTTTTTATGATTGAGATGAAGAAAAATAGAAGACTAAAGATGTTGAAGGACAATGTTTGAACGTCCTTAAATAGAGCTTGGAGGAGTTTTCAAAATAAAAATAATAAAAATATGTAATGTAATAATTTTTTCCATTTTTATGATATGTCAAATCAATATAATTATATGACAAACACTGCAAAAGCTTCATAAAGAGATACAATTTAATGCAAAACATGAAAAATATTCCTCTTTATAAAACATATTTTTTTTCTTCCACTTTATAAAGTGTAAGAAAAACTTTCACTTTACAAAGTGTAAAAAATAGTTCCGTTATATATTAAAATATACACGTTATGAGACTAACAGAAAACGTTTGGAATATTGCATAAAACAATTTTTTTTTCTTCCACTAAGCCTATTTTAGTTACTTACTAGAATAGTGACTTATTTTGGTCACTTTTATTTTTTTGTGACTTATTTAGGTTCCGGACTCTCATACATTAGACCGTTTCCAATCTATCTTTATTTTACCCTCTATTTTTTATATTTAGAAAGTAAAATAGAGAATGCGATCTTCAACCACTCTATTATCCATTTATAGCTATGTGAATAGTAGTTCTCTATTACAATTTTTATATTTGGAAAACTACTATTCATACTTTCTAGTTTCTACTTTTTGATTTGTAACTATAACATATTATAAATCATATAAGACCATTAATTAAATCTCTAATATTTGTACTTATTTGTTAATGTAATATATTTTAATTTAAAAAATACGATTATCTTTTTTCAAGTTAAGTTCATTATCAAACACAATTCAATTCCTAAAACGTTTTTTAACTTTTTTTCTTTCTTTCAAATAGCATATTTTTTTTTTCATATCCAATGCCCAAAGTATAGAGAAGCTTAGAAGTTAGAACCTAGTGACAGTTGAAAATGAAATCTGGAATCCTAGCAAGATATTCCAAATGTATATCTGCACCCTGTCTTCTTGTGCGTATTGTTGAGCTCACAAGCTAACAACTGTGACATAAGGCCTACTATTTTTCAATTCTCCTCCTCCTCTTAGGTTTAGTTTAGTGGTCAATACTACCACAATCTAAACTGCTATGCACCCTCCAGTCTAGGGTTATCGCAAGCAATAACTCTGATTCACTAGTTTCATTCTACAAATTAAGAAGAAACTCATTAATAATCATCTTTTTCCCCTTTTAACCTTCGAAGAGCTGAATACTAGATGATAACCCACACCCACTTCCTCTTTTTACAATGTCTGATCAACTTGCGTGCATCTTGACCAACCAACCAATTCCTACTACCTCTTACTAGTATAGTACCAATTAACTCTACTCGGCAAATCTTAGTGGACGAGAGAAGGAATCAAATAAACTGAACTCCAATTAAACAAAAACTCTCTTACTGTCTAAGAAGTGATTTAACAAGGATAAAATAAGTTGTACTCCCAATTCAACCAAATACTATCTCTCCTTCCTCACGATTCATAAAACCCTCTATTAAAAAAAACTTGCAAAGAAACGGCATTTTAAAGTCAAGGATCTGGATTGAAGTTACAATGTGATATGAGCACATTAACCATGTGACTTCCGGTCTGGTGTGCTCTTCTTCATTAGCCTGCAGTAATATTAGGTGGAGAAAGCAACCACAATTGACTACCCATATTCTTCTGGAAAATGAACAGATGAAGCTATAGCTATATACCTGTTCTAAATATCAAACTACCTCTCCTATATTTTCCTCTAATCACCATGACCAAAGAATACATGAAAGTTATCTACACACCACTCCTTGAAAGCAGTTGACTACTGCTGAAAACACATAACATGTTTGGTTTCAGGGAAGAAAGTGAGCATGCTCCTAGTAGGGGTGTACAAAATCGAACCGAAAATCGAGTCAAACAAAAATAAATAAATTGATTAGTGGTTTTGTATTGGAAAAAATAACCCGACTATATTTGAGTTGGTTTGGTTTCAACTAAAAAATATCAACCCGACATTATATATATAATTTTAAAATTTTATTTTATACGTAAAAATATTTACTTTGATATAATTTTTTAATATTTCTTATACTTGTTCATAGTTTTTATCTTCTAATATACTATTTCATGTTTAAAAGTTAGAATTCCTAATGGTCCAAAAAAGATTAATAGTTCATAGATATTAATAATTATAATAAAAGCTTAAATCAAAATCAAATTAATATTAATGCAAAAAAGGAAATCAATTCAACACTAAGAATGACAATAGTATTGAATATTTGTTCTTTAATTTTACATAGGTTTAGACAATTAAAATACATAATCTAATTTTAATTTCCTTTAATATTTAGTCATGTAACTAATACT